GTGTGTGTCAGTGTGTTCAACAAAACACATATTTAGCTATGTATGTATGTTTGCCTATACTGTATATAGATATTCATGTATATGTACGTATGCATGTATATATACGCGTATATATAAAAGCACATATATAAATGTGTATGCATATATATAGGAATGTATATATAAATCTATACAGATATACATATATATGTATTTACGTATCCAAGTATGCACGTACCTACCCTCTCTATCTATCACAGAGACACACGTACACAAACCAACCCAATACCCCAATAACTTTGACCTCCTTTACCACCCAGTAAACCAGACAGACTCACACATGGTCTCTCTCTATCGCTCGCTTTTCTGTCTATCTCCCTTTCTCCCCTATGTCCCTTCTCTTCTCTCTCTCGCTGCTTCTCTCTCTATTTCCCTTTCTCCCTCTATGTCCTCTCTCTATCTCTCGTTTTCTCTCTCTATCTCCCTTTCTCTCCCTCTATGTCCTTTCTCTCTCTTTCCCTCTCTCTATCTCCCACCTGCCTCTCTCTATCACCAAAACACTTGCACACGGACCCACTGTACACCAACGAACCCGGTTAGAGACTTACATTGTGGTCTTCTCTCTCTCTCTCTCGCTTTCTCTCTCTATCTCCCTTTCTCCCCTATGCCCCTTTCTCTCTCTCTTTCTCTTTCTCCTCTATGTTCCCCCCCTCTCTCTCTCCTTTCTCTCAATCTCTCTCCCTCTATGTCCCTCTCTCTCTCTCTCACTCTGTCTCTCCCTCTCCTTTCTGTCAAACTCTCTCTCTTTTCTCTTTCCCTCTTTTCTATCACCACCTGCTCTCTCTCTATCACAAAAACACTCGCACACGGACCCACTGTACACATGCCTACCTCCCTTTCTCCCTCACCTCTCTCTCTACCTCCCTTTCTCCCTCTACATCCCTCTCTCTCTCTCTCACCTGCCTCTCTCTATCACGAAAACACTTGCACACAGACCCACTGTACACCAACGAACCCGGTTAGAGACTTATATTATGGTCTTCTCTCTCTTCTCTCACTTCTCTCTCCTATCTCCCTTTCTCCCTCTATGTCTTTCTCTCTCTCTCTCTCTCTCCTTTCTCTTCTCTATCTCCCTTTCTCCCTCTATGTCCCTTCTCTTTCTCTCTCTCTCTCCTTCTCTCAATCTCTCTCTCCCTCTCTCTATCTCCCACCTGCCTCTCTCTATCACTTGCACACGGACCCCGGTTAAAGACTTACATTATGGTACCACATGATCTTGTACACTTTGGGGTTGGCTGTGACGGAACACCTGAAGTAGACGTCCTTGTCCTCCTGTATCGCCTCCGCCTTCAGCATCCTCCCGAGCGTCAGGTGTAGGCGGGGGCGACTGTAGTGGGCGTGGGCGTGGGCGTGGGCGTGGTGGGCGTGGGGTGGTGGGGGGGGAGAGAAGAAGGGGAGAAAGAGGCGTGAGTGAGTGGATGGTTGACTTGTTTATTATTGTTGTTGTGTTTATTATTATTATTATTATTATATTTTTTCATTATTATTATTATCATTATTTTATTGTATTTACTTATTTTATTTTTCTATTTTTGTTCTATTTTCTATTTTTTTATTATTTTTTATTTTTTTACTTTTTGGTGGTTGTTTATTTTATTTTTTTGAGGTGGTTAAGATTTTTTTTCTATTATAGGATTGGTTGATTGACTTTTTTTTTCTTTTTTTTTTGGTGGTTGGTTGGTCTGAATTTTCTTTTGGTTGTGTTTAGTTTGTGATTTATTTCTGGTGTTATTGGTTATCTATTTTTTCTTTTTTTTTCTTTTTTGACATTGCGTTTTTTTATCCTATCAAAATACATAAACATGGTAACGGATGAGCATTTTCATCTTGTTTATACGAATTCCTTTTTAAATACCTTTATTTTCCATGATATTTCATTAAATCAATTTCTAAAGAAATTTAACAAGGTTCCAAAAATATCATCTAAGATTAATTCACCGAATTCATCTAATTATACCAGATTCGATATATATATATATATATATATATATATATATATATATATATATATATATATATATATATATACGAATACGTGCATCTAATTTTACTTCACCATATTAGCGATCTCGGTTTCCAAGTAATTCCTAACTCAAAACGAAAAAAAAAAAAAAAAAAAAAAAAAAAAAAAAAAAAAAATGGTTTCTATGGTGCCGTGAAGTCGAGAGTGCTTCCGAAGCGTAAAAAAAACTTCCTTTATATAGCCGACCATCCGGGTCCTGTGATTTAATAAGGTAATTAGGTAACCCAGGTAGAAATTGGTTCACCTTACTTTTAATTTCTCTTTAATATCCTTTTTTTTTAAGTAGTGGAGATAGGATTTTTTATTACATTTTCCTTTATCATTATTCCGAGGATGATGATAAATATTTTATCAAAATGATCCCTCGTGTTTGGATATACGTTGAAATGTAAAAAAAAAATATGATAAAAAAATGAGGAATGAAACAAAATGAGTCATTAAATAAATTGCACGAATAAATGTTTCTCTCCTTAAATGAACCAATAAGTTTTCCGAATATAAAACAACGTCATAAACGATAAAACTGCAATAAAACTTATTCAAATTACAATAAAACGGGACATATTCGCTACACCATCAAAGAAATTCACGACCAAATCCTTAGCTACGTAAATTAACATTTTCGCATTAGGTCATCCTAGCGAGGCATACGTACGACCCTTATGAGCCCTATATCGCATTACCATAAAGCTGATTTTTGCCTATCTAGCCACCGTTCGCGTAATAGAATTCACCTTAGTTCCGCATCACGTAATGGACGCTATAACGAAACGACAGATATACACAGCTTCAAATAACTGTCAACAACCTTATATGCATATAGACACGTCATTCTAGATAACACTCGGTTTTAACTATATCATTAGTAAAGGGATATGACAAGTATTTTAGAGTATAAAGTGCGTTGTATAAACCGGATGCAGAGATGTTAATATATATTTCGATCACTGGCTTTTAATGGTCCGTTTGTTAAATTGTTTGTTTGTTTGTTTGTTTGTCCGTTTTGGTTTGTTTTTGTTTGTTTGTTCGTGTAGTTAACCATTATCCGATGGTCCGTTGACACCTTCAATTACGTTAGCTTAGAGAGTAGAATTCGTAAGCGTTTCCGGCGCAATCCATATCTTTTTAATTCATCCAATCTTTAATTCATCCATAATCTTTTTTCCATATCTTTTAATCATCCATATCTTTTTAATAAAACACAGGATGCCATCGTTTTGATAAACCAATCCACATCTTTTTTTAATTCGACGCCATAATCTAATCTAATAATTTTGTTTCCGTTGCAATCCATATCTTTTTAATTCATCCATATCTTTATTTTTAATTCATCCAATCTTTTTTATTCGACGCTAATAATTTTTTTTCCGGGCAATCCATATCTTTTTTTCAAATCATCTATTTTAATTCATCCATATCTTTTTTAATTCGACGCCAATCCAATCTAAATGCAATAATCTTTTTAATTCATCTTTTTAATCATCCATATCTTTTTAATTTCATCCTTTTTTTAATTCGACGCCATAATCCAATCTAATAATTTTTTGCAATCCAATCTTTAATTCATCCGTTTCGATGCCATAATCTAATCTAATAATTTTGTTTCCGTTGCAATCCATATCTTTTTAATTCATCCATATCTTTTTATTTTAATTCGACGCCATAATCTAATCTAATAATTTCGTTTCCGGCGCAATCCATATCTTTTTAATTCATCCATATCTTTTTATTTTAATTCGATGCCATAATCCAAATAATTTTCGTTCCGGCGCAATCACATCATATTTCCATATCTTTTTTAATTCATCCATATCTTTCCACATCTTTTTTAATTCGACGCCAAATCCAATCTAATAATTTCGTTTCCGGCGCAATCCCATTCATCCATATCTTTTTAATTCATCCACATCTTTTTTAATTCGACGCCATAATCTAATCGAATAATTTGCGTTTCCGGCGCAATCCAAATCTTTTTAATTCATCCACATCTTTTTTAATTCGACGCCATAATCTAATCTAATAATTTTGTTTCCGGCGCAATCCACATCTTTTTAATTCATCCATATCTTCCATAATCTAATCTTTAATTTTCGTTCGGTCGCAATCCAATCACATCCATATTTTAATTCATCCACATTCGACGCCATATATCTAATCGAATAATTTGCGTTTCCGGCGCAATCCATATATATTTTTTAATTCATCCATATCTTTTTAATTCGACGCCATGATCCAATCTAATAATTTTGTTTCCGGCGCAATCCATATCTTTTTAATTCATCCATTCATCCATTCTAATAATTTCGTTTTAATTCATCCATATCTTTTTTAATTCGATGCCATAATCCAATCTAATAATTTTGTTTCCGGCGCAATCCATATCTTTTTAATTCATCCATATCTTTTTAATTCATCCACATCTTTTTAATTCGACGCCATAATCTAATCGAATAATTTGCGTTTCCGGCGCAATCCATATATTTTTTTTAATTCATCCATATCTTTTTAATTCGACGCCATGATCCAATCTAATAATTTTGTTTCCGGCGCATCCATTATCTTTTTAATTTCAATCCATTCATCCATTTCTAATAATTTCGTTTTAATCTTCCATATCTTTTTTAATTCGATTGCCATAATCCAATCTAATAATTTCGTTTCCGCGCATTTCCACATCTTTTAATTTCATCCATATCTTTTTTAATTCGACGGCCAATAATCTAACCTAATATATTTTTGTTTCCGGCGCAATCCACATCTTTTTAATTCATCCACATCTTTTTAATTCGACGCCATAATCTAATCTAATAATTTCGTTTCCGGCGCAATCCATATCTTTTTTTTTAATTTTTTTATATTTTTCATATTTTTTTTTTAATTCGATGCCATAATCTAATCTAATAATTTCGTCGTTCGCAAGAATCGGTTTACACAACCATTACTCCGGCTCCCGTGATGGACGTTCGCTATTAACCGGCTTATCTTGCTTATCTTCGTCTCCTGCAACGGCAGAATGATGCAAATTGGCAAAATTAACGATTAATTAAAATAACTTAAAATTAAATCAAAATTAAAATTAAAAATTAATTAAAAATAACGAAAGGGTTTCAGCGAAATAAGGCCATTTGTTTGAACGGCAGCTGAACGGATCTGAATCGCTGAACAGGCATGCGCTGGGGGGTGGGTGGGGGGGGGGTGGGGGGGTGGGTGAAACGGAGATATAAAACTGTATCTAATGTATTGGTCTGCCACGTCGTCTGGCACTGTTCCATGACATGCCTTTTCATTTCTGGCTCTGAGCGGCTGTTCACGCTCGTCAAAGGCCTTTGTTCAACGAGATACAAATGTGTACTCGCTATTCTGCTGCTTTATTTAACTATTTTGCGGAGAAATTCATCACTTTCTAATCTATCTGTTTATATATTATATATATAATATATATTATATATATATATATATATATATATTATATATATTATATAGTATATGTGTATATATGTATGGTATGTATGTATATGTATATATATGTATATATGTATATATGTGTGTGTAATATACATACATACATATATTATATATATTATATATATATATATATATATATATATAATATATATATATTATATATTATATATATATAATATATATATTATTATATACACATACATAAATACACACACAAACGCACACAGTGGATGTGTGAATGGAATGAATGTGTGTGTGTGTGAAATTTTTTTCGTATATTAGAGCTAGGTATATTTAGACATTCAGGTTTACAACGAAATCAAAATAATAATAAAGATAATCATAATTTATAATAATGAATAAAAGTAATGATTAATGGTAAACGATAATTAATGATCATAATGATAATGATAATAATGATAATGAAAATAATAATAATAATAATAATAATAATAATAATAATAATGATAATAATAATAATAATAACGATAACAACAACAACAACGATTATAAAACAGACAAACAATTATCACCTCAGTCTATGATAGAAACTTCGGATAAATTCACATAAATAAATTCACATCCCAACCACACCGCCAGTAAACAACAACAACATTATTAAATTTCTAACACGTTCTCAAATATGAAAATACAAAAAGAACATGTCAGATGGACCTTAGCTTGTATACTGCAAGTACATGTTAGGGACAAAGTAAGAAATGACGACACTGACATGAGCCGTGGACAGCATATTGCACTAACATGACAAGTAGAAAATGTGCACATAACACGGCTGTGCGTCTCTGTGTACGTGTACTGTATTAGAGTATGGGTGGCATGACATTCCATAGAACAGAAATAACTCATAGGAAGAACAATGAGCACTCAAGGGTAGGAGTAAGTCTTGCTTATATGTATGTTTATAATATAGTTACTATAATATTAATATAATATAATATAAATATAATATAATAATATAATATGTTCATAAAAAATGATGGGTTCATATCTATATTTCCGATCAGGTCTATCTGACAGAGAGGGATATTGATATGAAATAGCGCTGAGAGAGATCATATTACCTGTGCTGGTATGTTAGGGAAATAAGCAGAGACAGACAGCAAAAAAAAAACAGGAAAAAAAAAAAAAAAAAAAAAAAAAAAAAAAAAAAAAATATATATATAATATACACATATGACACGTATTGTTGGCAATATTAACTGAGCGAAGGTAATATATATACAGAAAAAACGGACACATTATATATGAGACAGACATCCTAATACATATAACGCGTCCCTACGCTATTCGCTTTTCTTAAGCATACTTAAAGGTATTCAGAAAGAAAAGCGATTGGGCAATCTAACTTTCCCACCTCCCCCCCTGCCCTCTCCTTCCCCTCCCTCTCCCTCCTCTCTCTCCTCTCCTCCCGACTTCCTCTCCCTTCGCTCCCTCTCCCTGCCCCCCTCCCCTTTCCTTCCTTTTTCTTCCCTCCCCTCTTCCTCCCTTTTCAATTTCGAAAACAGCCAAACTCTTAGAAAAATGTCCAATAAATCTTATGTTCATGTTTATTCCTTATCAATTATAACACCACATATTCTCAAATTATAGAAAACGTAATTTATGATTCATCACCACCTTTATTATTCTCTAAAATATATGATATTATTGATTATAATATATATTGATATATATATATATATATATATGATATATATAGTGATATTATAATATAATTATATGATATATATAAATAATATATATAAATATATATATTATTATATAATATAATATATATATTATATATAATATATTATATTATATATATATATTATATATAATATAATTATATTTATATATATATATATTATATATAATATATATATATTATATATATGTTTTATTATTTTGATGCAATTCTCAAAATACTACCATAACAAGAGCAAAATACAATAACTTTTATATTACTATTTCATATCACTCTTACATATTCAAAATAGTGTCAAAAGAAGAGCATAATACTTTTTTATTTTTTTTTTTCCACCATTTTTTTCTTTCAGTCTCAAAATAATATCAGAAACTGAGTAAAATTGATTTTCTTTATCACCTTTTTTTCATATCATCAAAATGATACATAACCTTTATTTTATTATTATATTTTATCTATCACCATTTTTCTCTTTCTTTAATCTAATACACAAATGTCAGAACATGAACAAAAATACGTATTATTTATCATTTTTTTCTCTTTCATTTCCGTTCATTCTCAAAACAATATTAAAAACAAGAGAAAACGTACTAAAATCGTATTTTTTCTTCAATCAGTCATTCTCAATATTTTCATTTCGTTCAATCTCCAATTTTCTTTCATCATCATTTTAATTTCTATTCTTCATTTCTCGTCAATTTTAAATTTTTTCATAATTTTTTATTTTTTGCTTTAATTGCAGTGGTCAATTCTCAATTTTTCATCATCATTTTAATTCTTTTGTCATCGGTCAAACCTTTAACTCATGTTTTTTCTTCATCTTTTGTCTATTCTTTCATTTCGTCAA